ACGTACTTGCTAAATCGATTTATAAATTCCTTACTCGAGGTATCTACCCTGGGTGGTTTGATAAGCACAAATCTCTCGTCGAGTATGGGCTCGCTCGATTTCCCAAAGAGGATCACGTAGACATCGTCGAACCACTGGCCATCATGAGCATTATTCGCTACTTTGAGTCCAAAGGCAAGACTCTCATCGGCCAAATCTTTGCTCACCTTCAAGATAATCAGGGCCCGGCATTCGAAGAGGTCGTGCTTTGGGCGATGACAAGACTCCTTCAAAATCAATTTAAATTGAAGGACATTCTTGAATTCCAAGATCCAGTTCCACAATGGGCTCATTGCACTGCACAAATCATCGTCAGATCTCCTAGTGGGTTCGTGGACTTCGATATCATCAACGAACAGCTCATATCGCCAGGAACTGGTATCGCCTTCAGTGGAAAAAATGTTGACCAGGTCAAATTTTGGCTAGAGGAGGGTGAGGCAGGCTGGTGCTTCCCAGATAACTATATGGGGCCTGACCTTATGGCACGGGTCCGACTGAGCAATGGAAAAATCATATTATTGGTCATTCAGGCCAAGTGTCACCTCTCAGGGAATGTTGAGACACTCACTGGGGATGTCACTGGTGATGCAATCCACTCACTCATTCCTCACAGGTGGTATCGCTCAACTGTCTGTAAATCTCTATCCTCCATAGTTTCTATTGTAATTTATCTATTTACAGGTTCAAGGAAAAGAGGCTACACGGCGAAATAAGCAGAACAAAATCAACTTGATGCTCGATGCGATTGACACGGAGGATCAACCTTCTACCACCAAGAGACAATATCCTATTTTACGTATCATTGCATCGTTTCCACTTGTCGCTAATTTTGACTCGAGAGCTAAGAAAGTTCGGGATGCATTGAAGGAAGATTCTCACCCTCTGTCTCTATTATCCACAAGCGCCTTGACCTCTGTGCTTGCCACCATCCCTGAAGGTGTGGATATGGCTGAACAGCTAAGAGATACGCTCAAGAGGATGAGAGAGGAAGACAAGGAAGATATACAAGGGCGTCCTCTAAAGAAGCGTAAATAGGGTAAATAATCTTGTCTGCCAGTTTCTCTTGAATAAATGTCGATATCGAACTAACAAGAGTCAGTTTTACAACAAACATATTAAACCACCACTATGCATATCCACTCTTACCCTGTGCGTACCCAATCCTTATTCATTGTTCCCACTAACGCTCTCTTGAAATAGAACCATTATTATCTTTGATTATTCTTTCCAATCTATAGCCTTCTCAACTAACGATCCGTTTTGTACCTACACAAATAAATAAAATGTTGGCCTTCTCTACTTACCATTCGGACCGTTCAATGCATTTAGACCTCGCGTCAAGTAAATATAAGAGAAAACGGTGTGCATTGATTAGTACTATTAGTAATTAGACAAGAAGGTACACTGAGGGCGATCGTTTCGACAAGAAATATACAACAATATCTTTTCTTTTAAAGCCTCCTCTTGCATAAGTTTTCCATAACCGATATTAGTTTGCTTTCCTGGTGAGCTTCAAGGGGTGTATCCCACTTCGTTCACACAACAGTGGCGGCGGGGGCGTGGTGGGTTTTTGGAGTATTCTCAGGGACAATGGAGAAACTAGAGTTTAGACGTCAGTATATAAAGTGAGATGGCAAGAAAAAGGAGACATACGCAGTGCTCTTCCATCCTTCGCCGTCAGCAGCCAAATCCTCCTTCTCACCCTGCTTGCGGATCCAACCGCGCTCATGACCAACCTCGGGGAGTAACATCGACTCGCGCTTGGGAACAATCTTGAAGGTGCTGTTCCTCTTCACGCCCTTGGAGGTAGCACTCGGAGATGCACTGCGGCGCGAAGCGGCAATTGTCGTGTCCTCGTCTGCGGTAGCAGCAGTCGTCGAACCCTCTGAAGTAAAGGCGCTCTTGATAACGTCAAATGTAGAGCCTTCGCCCACCTTGGCTCGGTCCATGCGGGCACGAGTCTCGACTATAGAGGCATGAGTTCGTGTTCCTTGTATAGACTGGCGCAAAACGTACTCAATTCACGATCAGCCCATTCGAATCCGGCGCGGATACCATCCTCAATGGCCTTGGCCACTTGACGCTTGATAAGACCAGTGGCAAGAGGACGGAGGGTCTTGTAGAGGATATCGTGGCGAGAGTCGCGGATAGAGAACTTGAGAGCGTCGACCTTGACGTGCACATTCTTGACGCGGAACAAGCTCTTTTGAGACGACTTGGTATTGTTGACAATAGTGACGGTCGCAGTGATACCACGTCCACCGAGGAAAACGTCGGCAAGACCAGAGTCTTTGATTTTCTGTAATCAACGTCAATAAATATAGTTTAGTGACAAATAGGGGCACAAACCGGGAAGCCGCTCTTCTTGCGGAAGTAGAAGGTAACATCGCGCATGTCAGCCTGGATCTGACTGAGGGTAAGAGTCATCGTGTGATGATACTCATCCTTAATGGTCGAATAAGGAGACATCTTCATGTGCGTCTGGGCGGCAATCTCGACAATGTTGGGGAAGAGGTTGCGGCCTTGGAGCGTAAGGTTCTCAATGACAAGATCGAGCTTGTCGTCCGTGTACTCGATACGAGGAATAGGAATGTAGCCAACTTGTTCGACAAGGGTAGGGAGGATAACCTTTCGAATGTCGGTCCACAACTAGAAAAGATAGTCAGGGTCGGACAAGATTATCCCATTGGGGGCCACTTACTGCTCCCTTCCACATGAGGCTGCCCTTGTCATTCATGAGCAAGTCCTTGACGAGACCGGCCCATTGATCAGTCAAGCGCTTGTTAAGAGGATCAGCGGCCCATCCGTCAACCCAGTGCTTGCCATTGTTGACAAGAAGGTCGCGATGGGGGCGGTAGCGAACGTCAAAGAATTCCTTGGCCTGGTCGTGGAAAATGGCCTGAGACTCGTTATTGAATTGAGGTTGAAGAATGAATCCAGGCTCCATCAACGTCTTGCGAATAAACTTGTCGACACGACTCCACCAAGCGCGGAATTCCTGATCCTCCTTCGCATCGTTCCAAATGTTTTGGACGGCGTCAAAGACGGGGTCGAGACTGCGTCCACCGGCAAAGCGTTCCAAGAGGACACGGAGTTCGGACCAAGCTTGTTGGATGACGGGATCGTTACCAAAGAGACCCTTGGCCGTCTGACCTTGATTGGAGCTGACGCCCTTGGCTTGTTTAAAGTAGGCCTCGACGGTAGAGAGTAGCCAGGAGATGGCGTCCTGGTAGGCAGAGTGAGACTGGCACTCGACGACCACCTTCTTCATCCTCCAAATAAATTGGTCCTTCCTTTCCTTGGGGAATTCTTCGTTGAAAAAGTCTTTGACGCGTTGGGTCTCGTCACGAGCGCGTTGCTTGTGCTTTTCGGGGATCTTGTCCGCGAGATTGCTGGCGGTGGCCTTGCCCTTGGCTTTGGCGGCTTCCGGGTCCTCTTTGGCGAGATTGGCGTCTAGAAAGAGTATTAGAGACGTTTTTGTACCACTACTGGGAATACGCACGAGCGAGGGCAGTCTCCTTTGCAGAAGTGATAGCAGCATTCTTGTCAACGCCCTCCACCTTTTGGCTGGGTGGCGTTACTTCTGCGTTGTCAGCAGCCTTTGCCTCGGCTTTTCCAAAACCCTTTTTAAAAGCGCCACGGAAACCATCCTTGCTGATATCGACGCCTCCTTCAAGAGGCTTGATGGAATCGTCCGCCTAATCAAGATGAGACAGAATCATAAAATATTGTGGAGACACTCACTGCGCCATAAGGGCTGGTTGCAGCATCGTCCACCTTGGCCATGCGCTCTGCATCAGGTCGGGCACGTTCAGCAGCAGCACTGGCACCACGTGCAAACATGTCACGTCCAATGAGGGTAAAATCTTGGACCAACTTGCGAGCCTCCGAGTTGGTCAAGAGGAGTTGAGCGAGGGTACGGAGGTGTTGAACGGCCTGTTCGCCGTCGCGAGAAGCATCTTCCTTGTTGGGAATGGCCGAATCATCAGGAAGAGTACCCTTTGCATTCTTGACGGCACGGTCGCGGAATTGTTGAGACGAGGTGTGATAGATGAATTGTTGGAGAACCTCATCGGCATTCTTTTCTTGGAATTGAAGACGAGTCTAAATGGAAATGTATATGTGTGAGTTGACATTTCACATTGCACGTTGCGAGTGACGGAAACAAAGGTTAGGGTGGTGGAGTAGGGGAGGAAGCAGAATTGGGTGTAGGGCAGGCGCACTGACCGTCTCGAGAATAGAGCGCACGTCTACAACGAGCTTTTGGCCTTCTGGACTGAGCTTGGAGATGTCGATAGGAGAGGTTTTGATGAAATAGTTCAATGTCTGGTCAATCTGGGCATTGTCGGGCATCCTTCCTCGACGGAATGCTTGAATGACGCCGTACAGGCGCATCTAGAGCCAGTAGTCAGTCGCAAGTACAGTAAGTAGGAGATGAGAACACGAGGATACCTTGCGGTCAATGTCCTTTTCGAGGGCAACCTTGTCTGTTGGGTCTGTGACGGCATTCTTGCCTGGACTGGAGACGATAGACTTTGTAGCAGGTGGTAGAGACATGGTGATATTAGATGAGATAGTACAACACTGTTAGAATCGTTACTGGGGGGAGTTGGGGATAGGGTAGTCTTCAAGGAGGAAAGGAGGAGAGGTGAACCGGAGGTGGGTTATATACCCCAACGGATGCGAATAGAACAAAGCAATTATTCAACGTCACTCGAATGTTATTTGCAAGCAAAAGTTGGTTCGATTTTGCAACTCTCCCCCAACGTCACAAGGGGTCCACTCATGACGCAACCCATGCCACTATTGCGTCTAAATTCCACTCGCTGTACGCGTTGCGCTCTCGAATCCCCTCTTGACAATTGGACATCAAAACGGCGAGGATGGGGATACAAAATGGACAATTAGCTTCGTAGTTGATGAGAAGAGAAGAACAGGGAAAGAAGGCCGTGATTCAGTACAAGGTT